CGAGAGTCAACTCGAGTCACCGAGAGTCACCGAGAGTCACCGAGAGTCACCAAGAGTCAACTAGAGTCAAAGAGAGTCAACGAGAGTCACCGAGAGTCAACGAGAGTCACCGAGAGTCAACGAGAGTCAACTAGAGTCACTTGGATTTATTCATCATTTCTATAAATACTCATACTAAGTACTAAATACTAAAATATTTGAAAAATATTAAATACAGAAATCCAATTTGAAATGTAGAAAGTTAAATCTAAACCTTTACTAAGTTCAGGCAGTGATCTGCTCCAGAATGAAATGTTTTCTCTCCTCATGAAGCTTCTCACTGCTTGTTTTTCATGCTTCAGGAAATTTCATCAATATTTAAAAATAGTTTATGAACAACTTCAGATATTGTGTGAAATATGCACATTAAATATATTTATTTATTTTTCAATGCTTATTTTATGCTTTACATAGATTTTTTGATATTTTGTTAATATTTTTAAATAATTTGTGAATGTTTTTAGTTGTTGTGTAACTTTGAGATGTTGTAATAATATTTCAGGATATTCTGTTAATATTAGATATTTGATAATAATAGATATTTTAAAATAGGTTTTACATATTTAATATATTTCCAATATTTTCAGGTCATAGATTTTTGGATGTCAGTATTATAAATTACTTTGAATGACTTCAAACATTTTCTGAAGAACATTTCTACAGACTTAAATCATGATTTTTTTGTTAATTTTTTCAAATATCAGTTAATTATCTGTATGCAGGATTGAGTGTAACATGAATGATTGTTTTGATGTTTGATATTTTCAACATTTCTTAGATGTTTGGTCACATTTTCTATGTTTAATATTTTCATGCTTTCTTGGTGCCTTTAAAGGTTTGTTCACATTTTTACTGAATACATTTTCATATATTCTGGACTTTTTCAAACTGAGCTTCCTGTTCAGTGAAGAAGGAAACAGAACAGTTCTGAACATGAAGTGAACAGAAACCAGCAAGCTTCCCTGTTCTGGTTCTGTCCACACGACACAGACCGAACCTGTAAACAAACAAACAAACAAACGTGTTTAAAGTCTGACAGACTGAACTCCGGGAACAGCGCGTCCCTCCGCGGGACCGCGCCCATTGAAGCCACAGGGGCCCGCGGACACGCGCCCAGCTGACAGCGGACAACTCCGCGCGTGACGGTCCGCTCATCCGCAGGCTCCGCCCACCTCACCTCCGTGGTTGTGCGCGTGCTCCGAATCAGGTGAGGCGGAAGTGGTGTGGAGACGAGAGAGGCTCGCGCAGCTCACCTGTCGGCAGGTAAACACCGAGAGAAGAAGAGAAGCAGAAAGAAGGAGAGAAGTAAGTGAAAGCTGAACCAGCGCTCTGTTCGGTTCTTCTGGGTCCGGGTTCTTCTGGGTTCTAGCGGGTTCTAGCGGGTTCTAGCTGCTGCTGCAGGACACGTTTACAGATTTGTGGTCACAAACAGTCGGTGTTCCAACATGTGGCTCGAGGCCCTTCAGGAGGCCGGTTGACCGCGGCCAGGCTGGACAGAGACCAGAGACCACAGCTGTCAGCAGCTGGTTCCACTTTCTGGCTTCATCAGACGTTCTGCTTCAAACTCAGTGCGCGTTCACGTGACTCCTCTGACAGAATGAATCAGTGCGCAGCCGCAGTCAGCAGGTGGATTCAATGAGAACAATGAGGAACATGAACGTCAATGAAGGTCAGTGACGCAGAACGCTGTGTGAGGTCCTGATCAATGCAGCTG